CGATTTAGGGACTCTACACTTTCTGCATTTCATTGCACGTGGGTGCTTTAAATCAAAAGTCCAGGCTTGAAAGTGATTCATTTATTTGGTCAGAGGGATAATTCCAGGCTCATTTCAGAGTTGTGGTGCAAAATCAATTGGCAAATGGTCTTTGTTAGGGATTTCGATTAATAAAATGCCTAAAGCGATATTTCCCTCACCCGTATTGAAGGAGTGGGAGGGGGGGGGGTTGGAAATGGGAACGGTGGAGTTGCGTTATGGAGACAGCCAGGTGGAGAAGTTGGATTTTACCATTTCTCTTCATTGACTAGACATGGACAGTTCTCTCAATGGAAGTACCCTAATATGCTCCGTAAACATGACCCGTAATTCTGGAGACATGCGCGTTAGCCCACGATTTTAATCTTGGTTAGGCTTTTTTTCAATTTTATTGCACGTATTGGAACGTGGGAATGGGTTACCAAGCCCAATAATAGCTGGAGCACTTGAATCGAGCTTACCAAAGTTTGACATTCATATTAAACACATTTATGGGTAGACTGATGCTTCACAAACGAATTTCTCAGCTTTCGAAATCAGAAATTGATCCATTGGTTACCGGAGCTCTTGGATTACTTTGCGCACAGTTCAACTTCAAGTGATCACTGAAATAATTTGGATGGGTGTTAATCACATTTCGAGGCATCCTTTCATGAAAAAACTGCCTATGAGACAGTGGAATGATAATAACTTATGTCTATTTATGACATATTTGTTCTCTTCAAAAATTTTCAACTTACAAGGAATCCTAGGTGTACTCATTTATTACTTTTCGAAATGGTTGACCTTGCATCAAATCTCAAAGATTGCCAAGAAGTCACCCATAGATTGGCAATTGGAAGCCGGCAGAATTTTGGCAAAATGGAGGTTGCCACAGAAACCAGCCACCTGACACCCGAAAAGTGGGTTAAGAAATTAGCCTGATAGACAGGCCCATTTCGCGGAATCGACTCACCGCCATTTCGACCATTTCTCTGAAAGGGGAGGGATGAGGGATGATGATTTGTGCCGACATGTTGAACAGACCAATTACTAGGCCTCGTCTATTTATCTCCAAAAGAACTTTGGGTAACATGATTTTAGAGGGAGGGTGGAGGGGGGGGGGGTGGAAAATTGAATGAAGTGACGCATCGGGTTACTGTGGTCATTGACATTTAATTGCCATTAAGGAGCAGGAACACATTATCATCTATTATACCCATTATTATCTGACCTTTATTAAATAAGGCATGAGTATTTGCAAAATGTATTCAAACATGGGAGTTTATAAGGAGATAAGTGTCAATCAAATGTTTAAACTTCGGATGGATTGGTTGGCTGCATTAAAAGATCTCGAACTTGAAGGGTGACTCCTTCCAGTTGCATTGAATTATGAGGGACATTGCTATCAAAATTTTCTTACAAGCACTAAACGGACTTAAAAATCTCCATTCAGTTCCTTAGCCACGGGCCTGAAATACAGCCTCAAAACAGTAGTTTTGAAAATCAAAATGCCAACTTACCACATTTATTATTGACTCATTTGTTTGCCCATTAATTTAAAGGTGATATTTATTGTGAAAAGGATGCTTTTTAGCTTTCAAAAAAATGAGTAATCAATTCTCTGTCCTGATCACCTTCTTAATCTTTCACAATGCCTGTACATCTCATCTTGCGAAATGATAAATCGACCACTGTAAGTGTGTCTAACACATTTGAAGATCTTACTAATCAGATATGATAATACACCAGCTTTGCTTTCCTCTTCCTGACATTTTCTAACTAATTCTAATGGGAAAATTGGAAATATCCATTTTCAGATATCATTGTCGAATCGCTTTCCCATTATGGCTTACTGTTGGAATAAATGGAGGGGTTAATGTGGTTTTGCTGAAAGCAAGTGTATCTGACTCATTTCTACTGCGCCTGCATCCTGATGAAGCCCAGTTACCAACGCCAGAATCCACAGTCCAATATCCATTTTGATTTATTGTTTAAAACAGTCGTATATTTCACAATTTCCGGGAAAAATCATGCGTGCAAATGTTAGAAACCGTATTTTCATCTTTTTTTAGATTTCAGAGTGACAAACCACATTCAAGGAATGTAATATCAAGCTAAAACGGTGTATTTATTAATGAAGGAATCGAGGGTGAAAGGGAGACACTTATGATGATGACTTGACTGGCGTGCAAAGGTTAAATTAGTGTAAATACGGGTCGAAACATGGTTTCCGCAGTTTCGAATGATTTATCACCACTGAGATGCGAAAAATTTTCACTTACATTTCCCCCCTTTCACTTTCCCTTCTGCGCCAAATCATCATCCACATCTCCCTCTTGCGCGAAAGTATTACGAACCAGAATAAGCCGGTACCATGTCAAATGAAAAAATGAGTATCTTCTTCTAAGACGAAAATCTGGTAAAATTGGTAGAGCAGATGTAATTTGACAGGTGTTCTGCACTCTGCATGCAGTGGTAGTTGCTGGACTAGCCTCGAAACGATTTACAATTTTCTTAAACCGTAATAGGAATTGGCATTAATTTGATTTAAACTAAGGAATAGTACACTTAAGCGTTTGGAAAGGACAATGAACCTGCCTTAACCGCACTCTTATTTCAAATTTTCTCCTTCGTGTTTGAATTCACTGGATTCATAGGTGGTTAATAATTTGCTAACTCTTTAAAGACAACATGTGAGTTTGGTTTAATCTAGTTATTATTACACTTATATAAATATTTTTGTTTAAATGATGATATAATGTGGTCCTCAAAGCTAATATCTTTACAACACTGTGTTTCGATTTGCTTAGCATAGAAATATTATTGTTTTGTTCGAAGCCTATATTTTTATCCATATTTTATTGAATATTTTTCTTTTCAGCATCGAATAATTCCAGTGAATGCTAAATTACTCTTGTCACTTGTTCGAGAAATTAGGCCAGTTTGATAAATCAATTAACTTCAATAAATATTTTAAGTTTGGCGCCCATTCCTTTGATCTTGTGGCCTCCTTAGTGAATGCATTTTGAAGGAGTTAAATTAATTTTTCGGTAGTTATTTAAAATATATATATATATTTTTTCAAGAATGAAACATGAACTGGAATGCCTTTGAATTTTTTCAAGCCAAATAATTTTGACTGCCTATTTATTGGAAATTCCAATTATCTATTTTGAAGACCTAAACCAAAAAAGTTGAATTTGATGACATTTTGCTCTTATTAAAGGAAACTTCATAAAATACCATAACTTTAAATAACCATATGCGAAAATTGAAATTCTTAACAAGGTTAGGTATTTGAAACTAATAATTGCAATGATATCACAAACTAATTCCCTACGTTAATTAACACTTTTAAATTGATTTATCATTAGGATCTAAGCTTTAATGTGCTCATTTATGAACTCAAATAGTCACTGTTAAGTTCAAAACGAAGAAAAAACCCTTGTTCTTGAAAAAATGTTACTTTTAAACTAATATTAGCAGACCATAATCATGGAAACAACTGGATTTCATGAAAAGGATCATCAAACTATCCAAGGACCTATGTTCAATATCCCACAATTTAAAGGTTATCAAACCCCTGGTCCAAATCATATTTTTGTTACAATTAGTCAATGAATCGACTTATTATTATTATTATTATTATTGCGCGTCGACACAAATCGAGCCACAAACTTAACTAAAATCAATCAAAAAAGCATTTGCCCATCGATTACAAATATGCCATACTACCTTTAAATTTTTATTCTTAATTAGAGGTTGCTTTGCTTAATGACTTTTAGGGCTTTAAAAATTCGCCATGACCTGAAATCAAATTATTGGGAGTTCAAAAGACAGACAGCCCAAAAGACTAATGAGAAATGCGACCACTTTGTAACCTCTATATCTCTGATATTTCGGAGATTTGAAAAATTACATAAAGACGGATGATGTTCCCAAAAAAATACACAAGCGAATTAACCTGAAATTACCATTTTGATTAAGCGGAGTGTGTCGTCACCCTTTATTGAACACATTTTTTGATTGATACAATTATTTCCTATATGCAACCCACCGTGATTGTTATTGATTAACATTGTGAAATCTCGAGAGCGGTGTTGAGATGAATAGGTTCGACTTCTAGTGATTTTCTCGCCAATAGGTAAAAACGAGGCCGCACCTGTCGTCGACAAATAAATGCATTAGATCTCTTGGGGTTCTGAGAGAGAGAGAGAGATAGAGTGGTGTGAACTAAGTTGTATTGTCTTTCAATAAGGAATAATGTAAGTGTTAAGCTCCAGATGAGTCCAGCTCGAGAATAGGGAGTTAATTGAGGGAGGGAGGTGGGGAGGTGGGAGGGGGGGGGGATAAAATCAATCCACTGTCTACGGTTTTAGTAACATTAAATTCTTTTGAGTGTGTATTTAAGTGCGAGGCATTCGAAATTGAGTGATATGAGCGACTGAAAATTTCCTTAATTCGGGCCTTAAAGGAAAAGTAATTTTAACGACATGCCTTTAAACAACCCATTCAAACCATTAGTTCACACTTCGTAATTAATTCCCATTGTAAATAAAAAAAAATCGGAGAATTTTTGTGTGGTGGTAATATAGAGTTTTTCTGGTTATATATTTTAATTTGTTTTTTTTCATTAATAAAGACCACAAAAATTACTGAGGTGTATTTAAAATTTTTTGAAATGGAATGTTGGACGCGGTAAAAGGCCAATTTTGAATAGATATAGTGATTAAAAGCGATCAATTCTTTTGCGTCTACGAAATTTGAGTTATCTGAGGCCTTGAGTGAACCCACCTGGTATTTTGTATTGATTAAGAAATTGGCATTTCATAACCAAAAATACTACGGATTAATTTTGACTTTAAAGTCGTATTGTAATAAAATCCTGCTTTCATTAGTGGTCAATTGTCCGCAAACATTTTGCAAAACCAGGAAGTGCCAACATGTAAAGTTAAACATGATTTTTCTAAGATAAGAACATACAATGCTTTGTATGTGTATGTTACACATCTTACACAAAATATATGTAAGGCATATTTAATGCCTTTTCTAAAATTCAACAAGCAAAACGTTTTATTTTTTCATATTTAGTGGCTATTAGTCTTATCTAATCTCCTCAAAATGCATACACCCGCCTTTGGAAGCATTTTTGCTGTTAAAATTACTGGCGTATGTAGGTTGAATATGAATTCTTGCTCATGATATTTGAAGTTGACCGTATAACTTGGCATCTAGTGTAAGAAGGAATGTTTTAAGCTAGGAATACCTTGGATTACTATATATATATATATATATATATATATATATATTTGAAAATAACTAATTATTGTTTTGTAATTAAATAGGAATCTCGGTCTTCTACCCTGGCACCGTTTACACGAGGTTCCAGCATCCTTCTATCAGCACAAACCCTTATGCATGCAAAGCTATGGTCTCTCACGATCACAGCTTGTGATGTGTCATCAGAACTTCGATCACATGCCCATAGTCAGTATTGGAGCTCGAATAGGCATTCTCCAATGTGAAGACCAATTCAGATTTCGTCACTGGAATTGCACATCCGGCAAAGATGCCTTCTCTATTGGTACCCATACTCGTCACGGTATGTTCTTCAACCTCTACATCTCACAATTTTTGCCACTTGCAACAATCACGCGTAATTCGAATAGTACGTAAGGGCTTAGAAACGTCGAAAGCTGTTCAGATTATGGATAATAATAAACTTACATATGGATAAAAGATAGGGAAGAGTACCTTAACTAGGAATGTACAGAAAATTCCATAAGGAAATGTTTGACAATTTCCAGATTAAATTCAGTGTGAATGGTAACTCATTTTAAATTTGTGATCAAATACTGAATTTCAGTATTGATACCCACAGCAAGGCGATGTGATTTTTCATCATAGGGTATCAAATAAATCGTATTCTATATGGATTTCAAACTAATTTTTAAGTTCCAAAATTCAAGTTTCATCGATTGCATACGTGATATTTTTAAACCCTATTGATCTCAACACTGTACCTCCCATTTCTCATTCAAAAGCCAGGAAAGTTGGATTAACAGAGTTTATGTAATTTCACTAAAATTCGTTTGTAATTGAGCGACAAAGCTTAGTTCAGGAGACGAATGTATGCACATTGGATTTGCCAAAATCAAACGAAAACCACCTATTGAGGTACATTTTAACTTGGGACATATTTTATGTTAGGCATTCATCAAAATATAATACCGAAGAGGATTTATAAGAAGCGAAGTTCAAACTTATCTTTCAGGTTTCACAAAGGGTATTGATTGCTAAAACGTGGCCCCATCTCACTAAAATGAAACACATAAAGTGAGCGTTGTGAAATTGAAACAGGGAAAAACTGCATCGCCTGTTGTTAGGTTTGGCTCCGAGACCTAGAGTTATCTGTTCTAAATGTTCAATTTCAGACAGGAATGTTTCAAATAAAAATCCTCTTTTTGTATGCTAAAGTTAATTAATTAATCTCAGTTATGTGCAGTTAAGACTTACTAAGATATCTGCAAGTGATGCAACAAGTACGACAAAAAATAACTGCATCTTCAAAATACTTTGATCAGTCAACTTTGAAGGTTAGTTCGAGACTATTGAAGATGATATGTAGCCATCAGTTTTATAGGACCTGAAGATAATGGGGGGGGGGGAGGCGAGCATAAATAAACCTCCAACTTCTTTTGAAGTTTTCAAAGGCAAAAGCCCGAATATGATTGATGGTCATTTTCAATCATTTATTTCACTTTCCATGACTGGACAAAGCTCTTCAATGGGAGAACATATTTTTGGTAGTGCCGCCAATATCTACTTCATAGTCAAAGATTAACAATGACTATGTACCGTTAATTTGAGTTCTGAATGCTGGAAAGTGTTTATTCCCAGGGGGGAGAGATTAGTCATTGCTATCACAAAATAGGGCCAAATTTAATAAATTTATCGCCATTCAAAAAAAGAATCCACTTCATGTTTTAAATGCCTGCGTCACAATAGATGCAAGTTAAATGCCTAACCAGACTTTGACTAATTTCCTCTGGCTCAGGTAAATGATAAGAACATGCCTATCTCTCTCTCTAGTCAATGTCTGAGCAGAAGCTGTCAAAAATGAAGCCAATTAGGTATATATTTTTTACACAATTATATTGATGATTTTTTACAGCATTAATGGTGTCAAGTGTCTCTGACCTAGAAAAGCACATCATGGCGTCCTATCAACAACTAAAAACCCTTTGACCTCAGTTTATCATCCTCCATTGGCGCCCTGAATAGACGCGTCTCTCTCTCTCTCTCCCTTTCCTCAGGTCACGTTGTGATGGGACATGAAGGTTAATTGCGGTTATTACCCTCTTTCCGCTAATATACCTAAAGTTCGTCATAGTGATAGATGTTTTGTGAGTGAAACATGTCAGTAAATTTGGGGTTATATCAGAGGAGATTAATGCTTTGTAGAACGACACTTTGAGGTTAGAGTTGTGCAGTCCTTTATACAGACTGCCTTCCATTTCATGATCTATACACCTTGAGGATAAAAATAGAGCTTCTCTTATTCTTTGCTTAATTTGTCTTTCCTTTCGTAAAGCGATTTGCTAGAATTGTCTAAGAACTTTGCCTTCCCTCCTTGAAGTGTTATGTGTTATGGCATCGGGAAAAAGGAAACAGGAGTCAGCAAACTTATTTATGCGAGCTTTCTCTTGGGATCTTTTAGGACTATTTTTGAGCTGAAAAACAGTTGCGCCATGATTTCGCGGAAAATAACATGCATGACAATTAACATGTTTCACAAAACCCTTCTATACGCGCAGAGCGTGTCTCGAAGCTAGAATAGCCAACCGGCTACTTGATGAATACTTTCACCTGAGCTGCAGGTAGTGTCCAAGCCTCGGATTCTCTCATACTCTCAACTCCACTTGGAAAAAGCCCCCATCCCCAAAAAACCCTTTCACTTTAGCAGGGTTTCTTCATCAAAAACAAACCTTTTTTACGCAGTTATGACTTGTTCACGCGTCAATTTGAAGCCACAAAAGGGATTTAATCCCTGAAAATGAGAGCGTGCACAAATACTTTGGAAATCTTTTCGCCCAATGAGGTGGGGGGGGGGGAGGGGGTGGAGGAATTTTACCTTCTTGGCCACCATTATCTGAAAAGATTATGATCAGCAGGTCGATAAAAAATTCGTGGAATATCCTCGAAGCACACGAAGCATTGACGTTGTTCCCAATCTAATCTAAGTTAAAAACAATGCAGAAGTTCTTACATCCACCACAACAATGAGGACATATACCCTCCTTTTAAAATTTTATTTTATAACAAATGGCAGGTGTTTTGATAGTTATCATTAGCCCTTTAGTTGACTTCAAGCTTCACAGAGGGGAGGAGGAACATCAAAGTAAAAAGAATTCGAGAGGGGGAATAGAAGAGTGATTCACAGATGTAAAAGAGACAGACAGACCCAAAGGCTCAGAAAGGGTAAGATGAGTACTGTGAAAGTAGTCAAATATGACATACAGTGGGGTGATGGTAGTTTTTAGACAGAAGTCAACTGCCAGTTAATAGACTTTTTTGCCGTATGATTATACATTGCCCAGGGTGCGCCACGAGGAGGTAAGTCTATCTCACGCCCCTCTGCCTTTGTGTCACATCAAATTTTAAAAAATATCTCTTGTCGGTACAAATAATAAAGCAATGGAAGGGTAATTTTCTTTACTTTTTTTACCCGAATTTGTCAAAAGAATTACAATTTTTCTGAAATTACTGGAAATACTAATATGCTACTTAAATTATAAGTGGGTGAGGTAGGAAGGCAAAAAAAGATGGTTTTATCTCCATTATGGCAACAAAAATCAACAGAAGCTTTCAAGCTTATTGTCGGCTTTAGTGACAAGCACTAAAAGATGATTTTACAACTTTTCAAGTGGGTAAACATTTTTTTAGGTTGTTTTGCGAATACATTTCCGTTCATAAGTTTTAAACAATTTCTCATTTTTAAAACTCTATTCTTAAAAGCTCAAACAGACAAAAAAATGTTAGGACTCGTAATTATTTGCTTTGTCTACGATTAACTACGATAGACTTTTTCCGTAACATTTGAGGTGATCCGATTATATCGTCTCCTTTTTTGACGCCCCACTAGAAGTTTGTAAAAGTCAAGTAATTTTTGTTTCCATTCAATTTATACTTGGTCGAGGTCAAACTGCTTTAATTGAATTTTCTGTTTAAGTAAACAGTTGTGAAAATGCAGCCGAAAAAAAGCAAAGACAATTCACACTAAGGGATAATAATAATTCAGTGCCATGCTTCTGTCTGGTTACCAAGGTTACAACTTTTAAGAGGATAAAAATTGGGTTACGTTTGGAAGTTTTGATCAAATCTCTAATCCATATTCAATCTGAGCTTCGATCAGTTGAGCTCTGATGTGATGACAATAATAGTGGGGATGTTAAAACTTGACCTTGAAGGTGGCTTTGGGTCAGTTGCTCTAGATGGAGGTTCTCAATAACTAATGTACTTTTTAACCAGGAAACGTCCAGGTTCACAAACTTGGATGATTGTGGTGGTAAAATTTTCCCATTTCTAAATATTTACTCAAAAAAAACAAATAGATGATGTATTTTACTCTAGTTTTCTCCGCAAATTTACATACTTTGGGTTAATTGTTTTAATCAACTCTCGATTATAAAATGGCTGCTTTACCAACAATGAGGTAATCTTTCTCAGTCTCGTCAAATCCAAATTGAATTCGCCGCGAATGAAACAGTCCTACTCACTTAAATTGCAACACCGCCCAGTTTCAAGCGCACTTAGGTCAAGTACCCATGATATTTAATCGAATGTTGCCCACTTGTCAATTGCAGCATAATTTACAATTGTGAGAAAGTCCTCTTTTCTTAAATTACAGCCACGCAGTTTCAAATTTGACAGTGTTCGAATTGTGGGACCAACCTAGAAAGTTCTGAAATGAATTTTAGACTTTTAATTACGCAACCAGAAATCAAGAGGGGTTGGGATAAACCCCCTCCCCCCCCCGGCCCCCGCCCCACCCACCCCCGTGTATTGGTTGCAAGTACCTCAAATATATGCATATATGCCTTCTTCCATCACTTCTTCACAATAGTAGCAAAAGACATTCCCTTTCAGCCCTCGTTTCTCCCACCTATTACAGCCTGTAATATGATTTTCATGTCTGCCAAAAGTTTCTTCACCCTTCAATGTTTTCAGCGCGTTTCACCACTAGTGTTGCAAGTGGTGCTGCTGGTGGTGGTGGCGATAGTGAAGACAGACTGAAGAACACAAAATATGCGATTCCACTGGGTGTACGTTTGTAGTAATGGGATCGGGACAACTGTTTATTCCCTCTCTTGCGGTATAATATGAAGACGCACTGACACCAACTGTTTGCGATTATATTCTCTCCCACTCTCTCCTAGTCCTTGTCTCCCACCCTTTAACACTCCCATGTTAACTGCACCTCTCACCTAAAAGGGGTGCGGTGAAGGTAATGAGACAGGTATGGTGCTTGGGGTGGGGTGGGAGTGGGAGTGGGGGTGGAGGGAAGCCAGATGACAGGGGGGATATGTGCCTTCCTGTTGTCATGTGCACACGATGTGCGTATATCTTCCCCCGAACATGATTTTCACGCGGTAGTAGTGGTTTTCCTACTAACCGCAAACATCCCGTTCGGTTCGTAAGGGGAAAAAAACACCCGGTTTTCACTTGCTTGGGAGGAAGTGCGGTGTTGTCTCGTCTCCTAGAAAAAAAAAGTTAAAAGTAATTTGGTGGAAATTGTGGAATCTTTCATTTGACCTCATGACAGCTGGGGACTCTTATCAGATTCTTTGAAAAAATACCCCTGTCACTACAGCTGAATGGATAAGCAGATTTAGAAAATTGAATACCCAGTCTGGTAGATTGTCTAATGCGATAAAGTTCAATAGCAAATCGAATGCACTGGTCAGCCCATTATAGCTAATGCCGAAATAATGTTTGCCATGAAACGGGTTTAACTTCGATCTTAGGCATATTTGTGACCTTATTTAAGGAATATTATATTTGATTAACTTGGTATTGGCTTATAACTCTTCTGGAGCCACAAACTGTGTAAAGAAACGCCCACCTCAAGTAGCAATTTTCAAATGTGTTTATATTAGTCAATAGATAATATATTAAACAAGCAGTCACAACTTCAGCCAAAAACTAATAAAAGATACTTCTTAATTGCGAGAAATAACTGAAATCGATTGACAGAGGATTCTTTGATCACCAGTGAGGTGAGTATTGTATTGATGCTGAGAACAGCGATGGGGTATTGAAGAGTTTTACTCATTTGATATTTGCATTAGGACTGTACGTCATATATTCCAGATGTTCCAACTTTTCATTTGCAAGATTCTTTCCCTGGAATGTAGTAAATGTCTGTCTGTGATGTTGAAATATATATATATATATATATATATATATATATTGACGTTTTTAAATAACTTTATCTCTTTTTTGCAATGGGTTTGAAGAGGAAAATGATCTTACTTGATATTGAATAACTTCAAGTTCTAACAGTGTTGTGGAGATGAGTTTGGAAATATCTTAAGTTAGCAGAGCACGAACATTAACTCGATGATTGATACCATGTAAAATTGTTTGGGCGAATGACGATTGGGATGGAAGGAAAGCAGCCTAGTGAGATCAAACAATTAATTTATAACAAATGGCAGGCGTTTTGATAGTTATCATAAGCCCTTTAGATGACTTCGAGCTTCACAGAGGGGAGAAGGAACATCAAAGTGAAAAAAGTCGAGAGGGGAGGAGCAGAAGAGTAATTGACAGATTTAAAGGGACAAACAGACACAAAGGCTCAGAAAGAGTAGGACGAGAAATGTAATAGGGGTCGAATATGAAATACAGTGGAATGATGGTAGTTTGAAGTCAGAAGCAACTACCGGTTTATGGAATTTTTCGCCGTATGAGTATGCGTTGCCCAGGGTGCACCACGTGGAGGTAAGTCTATCGCACACCCCGTGAGATCAGACAATGAATTCGGACAAATTACATGGGAATTAAATTTTAATAATTCGATTTTCTAATTGCATATTGATGAAGCCAAGAGTTTTAGTTATTTGGATCTTTTAAGAACAATAATAATAATAATAATAATAATAATAATAATAATAATAATAACTTCAGCATTTTAGCCACTGAGAGCGTCTAGACAAAAGAAGTGGTAGAAACGATTTAAGAAATGCCTGAACATTTTTGGGATGGTGAATAAACGATGCCATACTGTATTTCGACTGTGAATTCGTCAAGCTGTCTGCATTTCAATTTCCAGTCATAACGTTGTGCCTTCTTGTTCCTTACTATCGGTGAATTCAAATTTCCGTGGGCGTATTTTAAAATTCTTTCCAAACCATGTTCGTTTCAAATAGCACTTGTAACAGCCAACCACTTGGCAAGGTATTCGATCAGTCTGTGGAATATGCGTATTTCGGTAATGATCTTAACGCCAACGCCTTTTAGAGACTCAAGTGTCAACGTCACAGAGCGTCCATGCAGACCGCCACCCCCAATTTGTGGATATTGTTCTAGTAAGAGCGAGATAGATTTCTTACACAGATTCAGTCCGCAAAACACACCTTATCCTCTTCATCATGCCCCCCAAGCCAACTCTTTGCCTGGAAAACCTTAAAATTTCCAAATTTTGGTATTACCAAATTTAATTAATTTGCCTCATGAACGAGGGGTTCATTGAAAGCGGGAATATGTTCGGAGGTGTTGACATTATGTGCGTTTTGGCCAAATTTCACAAAATTTCCCAATTTACTTCCAGTAAACTTGAATGAGGACACAACTCATGCGGTACCACAGCAATAAAGCCATTGCAGGGCCAACTGGAATCGCATTTTAAATCAGTAAAATTAATTAGTCGATAAATCAATTGTGATTATTTGCAGATATGAACCCAAGTGGAAATGTTGGTAGTATTTGGAAAATTGCAGCAAATACTACCTCATTTAATTTCTCAATCCTCTTCCTTTCACTGTAGTAACCAAACGCTCACCACAGCAAACATGCGAAGTATTCATTTAATAGTTGCAGTCGTTATGGATCTTTTCTTTCCATAGGTACTCGAGAAGCGAGCTTCGTTCATGCAATAGCCTCTGCGGGTGTAGTTCATGCACTTGCTCGAAGCTGTAAAGAAGCTCGTCTTTCAAGTTGTGGATGTAGTAAGGCTGAACGTCCACAACAGCTCCACCGAGATTGGATTTGGGGTGGCTGTGGTGACAATATCGATTACGCTTACCGTTTCTCCAAAGCCTTTGTCGACATGCGTGAAAAGGAGAAGAGCTTTCCCAGAAACTCTCTTGGCCTCGCGAGGAAACTCATGAATCTTCACAATAACAGAGTTGGACGACTTGTAAGTTCTTAGAAATGATGCTTAAGCTGGTATGCACGATGATTGAAATTGAATTGAAATCTGATTTTTAATCATTGTATAACAAATTGTAAACAGACCTAACCTTGCTATTATTTATACTACACAGGCTGTCTACAAACTTGCGACAGTTGCGTGTAAATGCCATGGAATGTCAGGGTCATGCAGTTTACGGACATGTTGGACCCAGTTATCTCCCTTCCCTCGAGTGGGACAACGTCTACAAGAACGATACGAAAGTGCAATACGTGTAAGTTAGCTCTACTTCTCCAAGATGATCTTCTCTACTGACAAATTTTAAGTAAAACATTATTTTCATTTTAGGTGAAATTTAATCGTCGGGGAACTCAGTTAAGACGGGCGAATCGTAATCTTCGACAAATTACTTCAGATCATCTCATTTATCTTGAGGAGTCACCCAACTTTTGTGCGGTTAATCCATTGACTGGAAAGACAATAACGTCAGGCAGGGAGTGTCTCCTTGATGGTCACTCAAGTGAAAGGTGTTCGCATTTATGCTGCGGACGAGGACATCGAACATTTACCCGAGAGGTACCTGACCGTTGTTTCTGCCAGTTCCACTGGTGCTGCTCCATCGAATGTCAGACGTGCATCAGAAAAGAAGAAGTACACATTTGCAATTAAATAGAAACGACGTCCCCACTATCCTTTCCCTCAACCGTAAAGCCAGCTCTCTCTCTAGTGTTTAAACCTCAAACCACTTCTTATATTCATCTAATCTTTAATGGATTGTAAACGAAACAGTGTCCTCAAATTTGCTTCTTACTTATTAACTGATAAGCCTGTGTACACATACCATTTTGACAAGTAAAGATCGTCATTTAATTACAATCCTGATCGTAAGAGTATTATAAACGTATTTGCTGTATCACTTCTTTCCAACTATTATCAAGCACCCTATACAATGTGCAGGCACCAATTCACTTAAAAAAGTCATTGCTTTATAAATTTGTAAAAGAACCTATTTGCTCTTTTTCTTGAAAGGTAGTGAAGGAATCAAGAAGCCTCCCTTATGAGGAACTCAGGCTTTGACTTTGATCATTTTCCTCACTAAAATGCGCTGCCTATTACCGAGCTTTATTGTCCTGAAAGAGGCGTTTATATATTCTTAACTGCGGGAGAATCGACCCATTCACTTTGAAACTGAGTACCCCTCCCCCCTGCCCTCACTCCACCCCAATTGAATCCATCAAAATGTCGTCAAAATATTGGACCAATTGTAAAACAAAAATGGTAGTTTTAAATTAGCAAATGCTCTTTGATATGGAGAATCGTATGCTAATTCAATGATTTAGTAAGAGCAAATATTTATGCCTCATTTAGCTGCAATTTAAATTGTGGACGAAAATTTCAGCCTATGAAAGTTTATTTATTTATTTAGTTATATCAAATGGCAGGCTTTATGATAGTTATCATTAGCCCTTTAGTTGACCTCAGGCTTCACGGAGGAAGAGGAACATCAAATCAAAAAAGTCTAGAGGGGGGGGGGGTGAACAGAAGTGTTTAAAGATGTTAAAGAGACAGACAGACACAAAGGCAGAGAAAAGGTAGGATAAGTATGGTGGAAGTGATCGAATATGACATAGAGTAGAGTCATGGTAGTTTGAAGTCAGAAGTCAACTGCAGATAAATAGACTTTTTTGCCGTATCAGTATACGTTGCCCAGGGTGCACCACGTGGAGGTAAGTCTATCGCACACCCCCAGCCTATGGAAGTAAAACAAATGAAAATGAGGCATCAGATTAGGCATATTTCTTCATTTTTAACCCCAATTGACATATAGGAAAAAAATGAGCTTAAAGGAAAAAGTATGCCATTTGGAAATATAAACAATCTTTTGAAGGTGGCTTTCAGTTCAGTTGAGAAATTAACGTGAGATGAACCGTTGGTATTCAATTCCTGTAATTGAAATGCCATGAACACGAGACAGAGGGAGAGAGAGAGTGCTTGGAGAAAATAAAAAAAATGTGAGTGACTGCCTTTTGACATATCCTTCAACCCCATCTCAGTATCTGAAGCAACAAAGCATAGCAAATGTATTATGTGTTTTCTACAGATGAAAAAAGCTATTTTTGCTACTTCTATGTCTATTCACATGAAAAGCTAAAATTGGAAGGTATTTTCGGACTGAAATATCATGACGGATAAGTTAAAGGATGGGAGTTATTCTATTTTGAATAGTTTGAAAACTGTCAGAATGCTGCACATTATTATTATGCCACCAACAGCATGTCAATCACAGTCATTGTGGAGATCCAAATGGCCTTTAGACAATAGTCTCCACTTTCAACTCCAAAATCGCATTACTGTTGCCTTTGCAGAAGGCATGGTCTATAAAAATAGGTCATTAATGCTCATCACATAGATAGGACAGGTAAATATGATGGGACATAAAGTCAATTAGACGAAGGAAAATTATAAAAAAAAAACCAATAAACGCCGTTTGCCCAAGTCTGCCTTCCTCCACCATGGACAGTAGCAACCTATGACTAAACGAATGTCATGATCCAGCCGATGAAAACACTGGACTCCCCGATCGTCTACCGCATTGGGTTAGCTTACAAGTCTACTCCTAGCATTCTTAAGGATTATTCGAAACTGGTTTCTCACGGTCATTCCCAATTCGTTGTCCAATTACACTCCATGCTTAAAATTTGTTCTTCTGTTGCGTTCGCCATTCTTCACCTCAACTCCTACTGGTTGTCTAACCAATTCCTCCTATTTTTGTTTGGAGGGATGTAATTCATATTTACTTTTATTTCAAATTCAATATTTTAATAATTATTATATTAGTAGAGCGTTGCAACATTTGATGACCGCGTTAAATTAAAGAAACAATATCTATTTCAGTGTTATGTTTAATTAATTTTATTGCATTCGTTATTGGAATACTTAAGTTTTCGAATTATTTTAATTTTAAATCATGTATCTTAACAAGAAATAAGTTTGTTGCCTTAGATATCTAGATTCCATTTTTAAATTTACTGAAAATAAAACACACGAGATATTCATGAATAAATTAAACTTAAGAGTACTAAAATATGGCAACATCGCACTAGTAAATGTAAGGTAAAAATTCATTATTTTTCCGTCGTTTAAAGGGGTCAAGAGATTCCAAATGTTTGCCTCTCATGCGCCTACACACATAGTTATTTTCGCATAGATCCGAACAAACGCAAGTATTTCGGATAGTTTTAACAGTCTATTTTCACCTTATACGGCTTTGGATATTGAGCATTTACTCTCTCTTTAAAAGTTCGAGTCAGCCCATACATGAAGGTTCTTAACTGCTTAAAGAAACTTACAGGAGGGGTCAGATAAAGTGAAGCCATATCCCTAACCAATAAAATTCCTCCGTTAGAAGTGGTCTTAATTTGGTTTGAACTTCTGATGCATAGAGCTTTCAGGGTAAATATTCCCACAAACCGTCTGGAATCGATATTTTATCAATTTTTTCATACCGAATTGCCACTGAATTGCCTTACTGATTTTACGTAATTGGGGTAAAATTTTCTGTTCCCTAGTTTACAACCCAAGATCTTATTCCGTTAAAACAAACAGTCCTGTTAGAAGAGAGATTTCCTGGAGCAAATAATTTCTCTTAGGCATATCCGAGTTCTAACAAAAAGTTATTCGAGTCATTTAGGGAATGCATAAATAGAACTTTAAATAGCAACGACATATAAATCATTTATTTATTTATATCAAATGGCAGGCATTATGATAGTTATCATTAGCCCTTTAGTTGACTTCGGGCTTCACAGAGGGGAAGGAAAATCAAAGAGAAAAAAGTCGAGATGGTGGGGAGGGGGGGGGAACAGAAGAGTGATTCAAAGATGTAAAAGAGACAGACACAGAGGTAGGAAAAAGGTGAGGTGAGTACTGTGGAAGTAGTCGAATATGACATACAGTGGGGAGATGGTAGTTTGAAGTGAGAAGTCAACTGCCGGTTAATAGACTAATTTGCCGTATGAGTATACGTTGCCCAGGGTGCACCACGTGGAGGTAAGTCTATCGCACACCCCACATATAAATCATTGCTTGGAATAATTTTGTTATTTTTTTGAAAATCTAGAAATTATTATTAGTGCTATTATTATCTATAGCAAAGGACAAAATTGTACAGTTATCAGACCTCACCTCCTTCACACCTTCACTGAACCGCCTAAACCAACTCTTTGTTCGAAAATGGGGAACCTAATGGAATTAGCAGATAGTAACGCATTTTCTGCAAACTCGCGCAGGTCTTAAAACTACATCTCTGTCGTTAATGCGGGCGATACTCAGGCAAAGTTTTTCCACCGTCTTCTGGACGATCCATTGTTATCAACTGTTCCAGCCCACCATCATCCGTTAAGCTGTGCTCTCAACAGCCTACCACTTGTTACTATCCACTGTGTGATAAACAATGGCGAACAAACCATAAAAAAATAAAGTGTTAGACGAATGTTTTTAAAGGCTTTGATAGGGTTTTGATCGGAGGGAATTTCGATCTTTGAACTGACCCGATTTTCCCTTGCTGTCCTTGGACTACCTACTTTTGAATATTTTGTTACAGGGGAAGTTTAGTTTACAAAGTTGTGTCAAAATAGTATCGATGGGCAAAGGGCCCGTAGCTAACAACGATATATACTCTTCTACAATCAATACGGAGTTGTTTTTATATCTGGAATAATAAGTGATAAATCCTGGAATAGCTTCTTTTTTGAGATTTGTACAGTTGGAAGCGCTTGATGAATTTTTGGATTGATAGTTTTGCGACACTGGAAGAGTTTCAGCTCGCTGTAACAAGGCCTGGCGTTTTAAAGTCCAAGCCTTAGAAACTGACCTTCCGATTTTTTTTACAGGAAATCAACCTTTCCAAATTTTACTGAGTCCATATATTCACATTTTTTAGAGCTGGTTGGCCTGAAGACACTTTGATAAAATTACCACGGACGCTGTGATTGTATTGACCAATAAGTTTAATTAACCAAAGCAGGCTAATTTGAACTCCTTATCAAGGAGTAAGTAAAATTCAGTAAAATGCAGTAAAATTCTCCATTACTGACTTCTTTGTCAACAGCCACTAAATACGAAGCGTTGCCAAATTAATGGGTTTCATAAAGAGATATTTGGCGGGTTTGCATCCTGATCTATTGCGGTTTCGTTACATGATACTTCAATTAAATTCGTCTCTAAAGTGCTTGTAGTATCTACGATGCCTATATAAGGCGTTCTATCAGTAGTCACAACAGGCAGCGGATCATAATTTACTGTTGCTCTGCTTCAGCGATTGAGCTTCTCCTAGGTTCGAAATTCATCCAAACCACAGTCTATTGACCACTTGTCAATGGTCTTGTAGAACCTTTTACAGTCAGCTAAAATCCATAAAGATTGCAACTTCCTAGGGTGTAGATTGATCGGAACCTCTTCCTGACATTGCTCCTCCAATTGAAAACATTATTAGGGAACACCTAGGATGCCGTCATGCAGAATTCATCATTGGTACAACTTTTAGCCTAATCGAAAACTTGATTCTCAGTTTTGAAGACAATTGTAGGTCTGTTTGCCCAATACTCTTACGCCAGAATGAGAGGTCAAAACAAATCCATATGGTCTTGTCAGCACATCTCTTTGTCTTTGGTTGCAATAGATACCCTGTGAAAGCTTTTGCAAATACCTTATAAAGATATTTCTAAATCCTGAAAAGCAATTCAAATTACTTCATTCTCGGGAGTAACGTAACAACTGTTGACGGACTGAAGCTGGGTTATCTAGACCTCCCGCATTTTGCACACAAACTCTTCCCCCTCTGCACAAGTTCCTAATGACAATGAACACTCTTGCAATACTCCTATGCAAATTCTCTCAAAATATGCAATATACTCATCCTTCCAGCCTCCATCTTCCATCCAAGATACTAGCAACCCTATCATCCCTCTCAAGCATATCTCGACGAAAACAATATGGCCCTTATAGTAGCCGAACAGTTATCTTCTCTTCTCAATAGGCTCAGCATTTCAGTAGCTAATGGTTGAAGTTTTTCCTCTTCATTTCAGTTATTGTCAAACTCATAATACTGTCGAGGTCGAACAAAGTAATCCTGCAAGCTCCAGAATATGATGGAAAGTATGAGTCGACAATCGATCGTTGTGATTGCCGATGCCTTATTAGCTACTCTGCGATTATCATTATATAATTGCTTTTGCTACCCGTCAAAGATGCGCAAAACGTTTAATACCCTGTATACTTTTCGTTCTGACTAATTCGAATACCGCCTAGGTAACTGTGGTAGCAAAACATGAGGTAGTGGGCCATGATATTGTATTTTACAGCTAGTTAGACTTCTAAGAGCATTGACGTGGTTGATTGAGTGCTTATTTATATTTTTTGTCCCTAAGTATGAAGAAGAAATAGATTTTACTTAATTTAGAACATTGACACCTAAATATGCAAAGAAATGACCTCCATAAATATCAAAACTCAAATTAAAATTTTTGGAATTCAGTACAACTCTATTTTTAGCTTCCATTTACAAAAATTCACAAAATGCGTAAGACTTGAAGGAGAAGATATTCTGCAAACATTATTTGCCATAATAAGAAACTATCCCATTTTATGAAATTCATTAAGATTTAATTAAAAAAGTGCGCAATTTATTAAATCAATTCTTTGTTTACTCATGAAAGGAAACATTTAATATTATAATAGTTACATTTTGAGTACAACCGTGCCATAATCAAAGCAACCTGTTTAAGGTAACATAAAACACGTTAAATTTTGGCTCCTTCTTTCACTCGAAATCTTATTAACGACCTGGAAGTTTATATGTTTGTGCAAAATATATCTATTTATTCATAGACGTTTTTAGATGGGGAACTTCTCTCCCGTTCTAGTCATTGCAACGGAGGAACGATTAAATCGGTCTTGAAGTTGTATTACCCAATGTCTTAGTTCAAAACGTTTAAAAAATTGATTAAATTATTTTTTGCCATGCAAAATATATGAAAACAATTAAAAAATCTAAATTTTATTTTAACTTTCAAATAATCTAAGAACAAGGTCACTTCTATAACAATAATCTGGCGAATCTTCGAAGGCCTCTTTTTAAACTTAATACCATTTTCTATAACCTCTTTTGATTATATGATGAATTTTTAATTCATATGCTTAAAACAGCTCTACTTTCTGGTTTAATGCATTGTATAATTTAATCTAAGAGATTCAGCTTATGACACATATTTTTGAAAGTGTAGATTATGAATAAGAAAAATAATAATCAGAATACCTCGGGAAAAATTTTAAAAGGTGCAATATTATCTCAAAGCTTTATCTCAAAAGGATACGATACTTATGATGAGATTATGAAATTGAAAGCGTTCTTGCATACGGGTGAACTACAGGACCGTTTGCAAAGCGAAGAACTATTTTTTACAAACCTTTTATCCGAAGTGCGTGATGACTATATTTCAAGGGAAGAAGATTTTGAGAAAGTTTCTAACTCCCTTCAGCAGCATTATTCTACTGACCCTCTCCCATATCATTGGCTTCACAATTGCACGTTATCCCCCAAAGTACGCATGTATCTCGCAGAAAAACTCTTACCAACCGTAGTCTTTGGATTGGAACACATTTTAAGAGAAGCGCATCGTCGTGGCCTTTGCAAATTACTTAATTCTGAAACCGGCAGTGAAGACGTGGAAGTACGAATGGATGTAAACTTCAATCCACTCAATCGATTGGCGGAATTTCTTATGCGAAATAACCCGAAATACAGTAATAAAATGCTGAATACTTCTCGATACCCCTATACAAAGGCAATGCGACAAGTTGATGATCGTTTAAAAAGGGAACTATTTCTTCGATCAGGAACGAATTTAGCGAAATACACTATTGAATCAGAGAATAGAAAAAACGAGTGGGAGACAATAAAACGGCAAAAGAATCAAGAATTTGCTAACAAATGGCGTCTAATAGAACCAATTTTTGATTTTTTTAGGTTAGAAGGCAAAGATACCGTCAATTCAATTATCGTAAATTCAATCTCTTTACTCATATTGCATTAGTAGCATATATTACCTCAAATTTTTGCTTAACAGGTACAGCAGTCTGTACGAGCATTTATGCTGATAGTAATGAAAATGCCAAATGACCTTTCGCTAATTCAGCGCCCGATCATTTACATCGAAAATGTCGAAGAGAACATTGAGAATTATACACTTCACGAATTTATGACAGTTAGTGTTTTGAATTTTCCAATAAAGTTGTGGTACTCACAACTTTATGAATTGATTTTTTGTTTTAAAAATTTCAGTTTGTTGCGTTTTATGCGCAACCATTATCCATGGAAGCTTTTCAGACTTTCGTGAATCATATGCAAAGATGTGGCAAGGAATATCAAGATCATGTGAACCGTGACATTAAACTCGATCATATTGTAGAGGTTTCAGTGAGTTGTGATATGGAAACGGTAAATTAGCCAACCCATGCATTTTTGACTAATTTCAATTATATTTACCCTAAACGGAGTATTTTGAATTAAAGCCTGGGATCGATAAGCAACAACTTTATGAGGAATTTACTCGATTTGCAAAAGAAGCTGATGCGGAAATGAAACGAAATCTTGTGGATCCACATGATTGTATGCTAAATTTATTGTCGAGTGCTTTAGAAGATATGAACAATTTGTTACTATTTTTTATTTTTTTTGCCCTAGGGCGCATTCAGGACTATCATCTGCGGAATGAGATGTCGGCTACTAGAATAGAAGCTGTAGAAGAGGTACTCGACGAACCTATAACTCAAATTGAGGATACCCATTTAAGCACTTCGCAGGTCGCTCCTGTTAATCCTAATGATAACATAACTAGTAATGATGATACTGCTGCATAGAATTCTCATGATTTCTATAATACTTCCCCAAATATTTTCACCGGCTTGATTTAAAGAGAAGGTATGGAAGATAAAGGTATTCTGACGCCTTTTTGGCGGTTTCTAAGCAGTAACTAAGCTGAAACTGCCAAGGACATTCTTATGACATTGGACTGATACAAATGAATATTTGGCAGCATAGGTGGATTAGGGTTAGGGTCAAAATGACACTACTATATCAATCGACTTTTTCTGTTTTCCATTCATGTGTGTGCATGTGCATTTGCCGCAATAAATCACCAATTCCCAGACAGTCATCTTTGCTACAGCGAAGTTTTTGTCACGCAGATTATACCCTCCATGGATTAACGAAGAAATCGCGTAGACTAGAGATCATTGACTAATTTAGAACTTACTTCAAGAAATCGGGGAAGCGCAGTCGATCTTTCATTTTGCCAAATTAAAAAATAAATACAATATAGTAAAAAAAACAGGTAACCTCAAAGGAAAATTGTTAGTCATTTATTATTTTCATAAATAAAATAAGTTAATTTACGAAAGCTTATCTTTCACAAATTTCCCCACCGTCTTCTGCATTTCTTGATTCACAAGTTGAATGGTTCTTCTGATGGTGCTTCCAATTTTGGCTTCGATATACCCACCCAAAGGTCCAGATGACAAAAGATTCGTCAAGTCACTGAGAAAGCCAAACGCAGTCCTTTCGTCAACATTTGGGGGTGCTGAAAATTGTAGTCGACTGATCTCCACTCGTGGAATTCCATCCAAATGCAACAGAGCTTCGGTAGTATTTTGGTAGGTTTTAGGCAGCGTTAAAGTGAGATTAAAGTTGACGATGAAATTGAATAGTTGCAAAATGGCAGGAGTAAAATCAGTGTCATATAGTAAGGTGGTTATCTGAAAGAGACCATCGACTTTAAAATAGTTCTTCAAGTCCAAACAGAGAATAAAATTGATATAGTCATCCTCCGGTGTCGAATAGGTAGTCAACTTGACTGGACAACTCCTTATAACCTCCCTTAATCCATAAATACTTGCATTTTTTACAACGATCAAATTATATGGAGATTCGTTCATTTTCATTGGCTCTGGAGCAATCAGTCGTATGAGTGATAAGAGATAATCGATAAAGGTATTGACGAAAATGTCCTCATTTTTAGCTTTATCTTGTATTAGTGTTGATCCATTTGCAATTCCAGTGATAAACAGAAAAGCATAAACTAAAGAATATGAAATAAACAATTTTTTAAATTCAAATCATTATGAAATTAAATAATAACTACCAATCTATAATTATCTAATTAAAACATTCGTAGCATTAGTCCAGATAATCTAATCTGCTCACACAAAATTTTAAAATTCTGCTTTTGAACCTAGAATTGGTTTCATTGAAATACGGCCGATCATGCAAAATTAAATTAATTAAATACCATCATTGGGTTAATTGAACGAAATAAAATGAAATGAGCACCTCATTGATGTCTACTAATTGAGAAGAAATGTTTATTTCGAAACTGGAAGTCTTGGCTTTGACTTCTAGAAGTTTGACACTGGTATTCCTCTGACATAAGGCAAATATGAGCTCAATCACGAAATATGTGATCGTGTGGTTGTAAGGAACTCCAAATATCCTTTAATGAGAATAAGTTTAATTGATTTTCTACTGCTTAGTTTATTCCTTAAACAGAACTGAACTGATGAAGGGACGTTAACTGCAACACATACTCTAGGGCTAACTTCGCTTCCAATAGGACTTACCTTCGAGTGCCAGCATCGTTAAGAGGTTAGTTCCAAAATTGACATATACATAAGGCAGGCACTAGGCCTTAATCGTTGCCACCACTTCGTTTGATTGGTCGAGTTGAATAAACATTCGAAGGAATGGGAAAGGTCATATGGGTGTGTAGACTTGCCAATATCCTCCCACCCTTTCCTCTTCTTCGGTCACCTTTTGGCATTGGCATCAGATATTTTATGTGAGAAATAAAGGCCACTTATTGTGAGGAAGATAAAGGAAAATGTAATAAAAAAATATAAGGATATGATGGATCATCAAGTTTTTTGGTAGGTATGATTTACTATGCGTAAATCAATATTTCGCTAGGAATAAGCACACACACACACACACACAC